TTGGTGGAAGCGAGGCTGAGCAAGAAGTTCCATGGAGCAGAGATTTTTTTTTGCGCTTTTGCCAACTTCGCCTTTGATGAATCTGTCATATTCTCTTCTTTAGTCTGTCAAGTGCAGGATGAATTGTACCCTATTGTGTATATCTATTATATATATACATATAAATATATATGTATATATATACATATATATACACAAATACACACACACGTACTACGTGTGTGTGTGTGTGTGTGTGTGTGTGTGTGTGTGTGTGTGTGTGTGTGTGTGTGTGTGTGTGTGTGTGTGTGTGTGTGTGTGTGTGTGTGTGCGCGCGCGCGCGTGTATGTATAAGTAATTCCCCAAATGACGTTTCTAAATGATGTTTAGGCCTAAATTGGTTAGAATAATAGCAGTGATACTATCAACAAGGAGGTACGTTTTGGTCATAACGCTAAACAGAAAGAAATGAGGCGAGAGCGTAGCGACAAAACGGGTGAGAGACGAAGTACCAGCAGAGAGAGAACAGAGGCGATGGTAGAACGCTTAAAAAAGAAAGCTGATTTCAGCAGACACAGAGAGAGAAGGGCACGACAAACTGAATACGGAATAACAACAACAGCGAGACAAGAAGACATAACAGAGCCGGCGACGACGACGCGAGGGCGACGGCGATAACAACACAGCAGAGCGGGCGAGAGCAAGGCCAGGGAGGACAGGGCAGGTGCCAGCGGGGACGAGGGGCAAGTGGGACGGTGGCGAAGACGGTGGCCTCGCCCTGGGCACTGGCAAGGCTGCTGGAAGGTGGCCTGATGCTGTCACCCCGAGTTTCTTACCAGCCCGAGAGAGATTTTTTTTCGCACCTTTTTTTATAGCAAGGACGTTCGGAATCTGCTGCCACAGACATATATTTAGAATCATACTTCTCTTTGCCCCTCCAGGCGCTTCGAGGAACTGGACTGTACTGGTGGTAAACTATAGCTTGGTACTCGACTGATGCTGCAAGTGGTAGTTAAAACGGCATGCAAAAGAGAGGTTCTGGTAACGTCGACACTGCATAGAATTTCTTACAGTATGTCTTTTGCAACCATATAATCATAGAAAGTATTCTATAACTGCATCGATAACAATATGCAAATTATTTATCTAAAGAGCTCACCAGCTGCGCCAAACGTTTTACCTGACACAAATAATCTAATCCCCAACATTTATATTGCTATCAGTCTTCACGCATTAAATGTACTGTTTCAATCTCTGTCCTCTGCACTAATACCATTGTAAATATCTCTCTGCCTTGTTGAATCTAACTGCTCTTGCTAAAACTGACGGCAACATTGCCTTCTCAATCTTCATCCAAAATGCCTCCGATTTGCCCAGTGTACTTCGAATCTTGCTGTAAAGTATCTGTCCCAAACGGCACTGAAAACTTCCCTCTTGCAACGAAACCCGGAAACTGAATCGCGGAAATCCCCGCGCGTTCTGGCCGTCGTAGGACCATCATAACAGAGGAGCCGCTCGTTCATATCAAACCCTCATCGAAGGCCATTTATTAGTTTTCAACATGATGACCACTCTCACAGCTATCACTCACGTTCATTAGACACATACGGTGGTTTGATGGACGCTTTTTTTTTAGTGTATGGGCGTGTCGTGCAGAAGACTGTATTAGGAATCTAGCAATTTGAAATCAGCAGAGCGTGGGCCTGCCCCATCATCTAACAGTAATGATGTTAATAAAAATGAAAGCAAAATGCCAACAGAAGCAGGAAGTTGCCAAGGATACGGAATATGGAAGACAGGCCAGTCATTATCAAAAACTGAAAATTGGGAAGCCATGTCCAAGTCTGCGCTTTTCGGAATTATCAAAGCGAAATGAAAGTTGACAGAATCGGCTTTCATTAGAAGCTGTGCGGTGAACTACGGCCAAATAACCAAAGAATATCGTACTTTCCCTTTAGTTCAGGTAAATAAATATTCGTTTTTCTGTTTGCCTTCCTTAGTCCATTTTACCTTTACTTCTTGGTGTTGCAAGTAAGGGTAACGGTTCTTTGAGGAAGAACACGGATTCTTTAAAATTATAAGAACGTGTCGTAAGGCACATCATATGCCATGCCTTAAACACCTAAGTATGTCTTTCTATATAATCTTTTCTGGACACTTTCACTCCATCTTGTCTTTATAATTACATTTTCCTTAACCTTTTTGTATCTGCAAACCAAGGAATCTTAGACAACACTAATCAGAAGGGAAAAAAACAGTACAGTGTGAAATTAAGATATCACATTTTTATTACACGAAATGTATAAGTAAAAGTGAGAAAGAAATATCATAAAAAACAATTCTACGATATGAAAAAAGAAACGTTTTCTTTAATCTAATTATCCCTTTTACATGACCTCCCAAGTGGCAATTATCTCCAACCCAGACACAAGAAAAGAAAAAAAGAAAAGAAAAACAGGAAAGAATTCTAAGACACCCACACTACGTACAAGCGCTACGTACAACCCAAGTGACAAACCCA